ATCCTTAATATTGGTAGGCTCAAATTAATAACCTCCATTATACAACTCTGGTATTATTATTAATCCATGAAACTGGGAGCGAGGGGCGGGCTGCACCCCGCCTTTCTCTCGAAATAACTTCAACATTCCAAATTCATGATCTTTTGAAATGGGGAACCCCCAAAACCCGGCCGCAGAAACACATGTATTTGGTGTTGTATATAATTATATGCGATTTTCTATAAAATTAACCCCGATTATAACAATTATGTAGAAAAAATCTCTCTTACAAAGAAACCAATATTATGCCCTAAGAAACATTGACAACTTAGCATTGTCCAAACCCGACATTTAGTTAAACGGATCGACTTTCTTTTATCTAATCTAAAATGTATAATGACTTAACAATCTATTATTTACGTAGACTCAACATAATGCATACTTGCTGATTTATTGGCAAAACAAGCTTCGAACAAACAACACACAGATATCTAGGGGTGCGTTTTAGCTCAATTTTTGAAGGCAGAATGAGCGATTTGTAACGCTCATCGTAATCGCAGTTCCACGGTGCACTGTATAATCAGGGAGGTGTTTTATACCCTGGTATAATTATGCTCACTTCTCTGGCTCCTCTCCTTGGGTGGCCTTCAGCTGGATTCGCAAACCTGTGTGCGCATGCTATACGTAGGCCCACAAGAGGTCAGTGCGTTGACCCTATTTAAACGCGTTTACAAAATCGTAAACGCACCTTTTTGTGAGTTTACGATCGGCGATCGTGATCGCCGTTTTTTCGGTGATTCTACAAAAGTGAGAATTAAAGGACGCAACCGTGTTTTGAACTAAACACGTATACGATGCCTGATTTTGGCCAGAAAAAGTTGAGCATAAACATACCCATAGTAAACCAAAGCAAAAGTGAGTTCATTGGAGAATCAGACATTTTACTACAAATCCATGTGGCAAAATCTCTGATGGGATAAAGCAGAGGAAGGAATACACTTGTAGGCCTATATAGCATCAATAAAAATGTAAATAATGTTTTTAAATCAAAGGTTTGAACCGAAAGGCATGAGAGATTAATTCACCAATTCAGACTTGGTAAATGTAACCTGAATTAAATATCTAAATAGAAAACACAACACCGGACTCTGTGAAGAATGACAGACGATAGAAACAATAATTTATTGATCACTTTTAATTATCATGCCCAAATACGCAAGACAAAGAAGGAGAATGTACAGAGCACTCAAGACCCAAAATCTAAATCTATGTCATTTACTAGGAAACGAGGAATGTATAGGAAAGGTAAAGTAGTTTTTGTTTAAAGCCCAAGTCCACTCCAAAAATAAATTACTTTCAATAAAACCAGAAAAATCAGACAAACCAATCAAAAAAAGTTTGAGCAAAATCGGATAACTAATATTATTAGTAATAAGAAAGAAGGATGTAAAACTATGGAACAATGAGAATCACAACACAAATTGCAAAGATGGTTATCAGTTTGTGACGTCATGTCCTCACAATTTTTGGAGTGGACTTGCCCTTTAAAGGCAGTGGAAGGTACAACGAACTGTGATCCTCAGCTATGAAATAAACTCTTAATTACGGTTAGCTGTATTATTTAGTAGTATCATAGTTATCAGGGTCGGCGATCGGGGGGGGGGGGGGGAGGCGGGGGGACAGTTCCCTCAATTTTTTTTAGGGGGGGGGGGGTCGTCCCCCTCTCCTGAAAATTTGAAAAAGTGCACCCCAACAAATGTATAGCCTTACTGACTTAAGACTGCAACACACTTTTAGGCTCTGGAGGGCCCAAGAGTGCAGCGTTTAGACTAATAAAAATGCAAAAATCTTCTCACTCGGGAGCTACGCTCCCTCGCATCATATCCTTCGAAAATTTAATGTACTAGTAAATACCGAGAAAAGTGAAGTGTGAAAAAAAGTATATTGCTTGTTTTTATACTATAGTTTTGCTATTATAAGGAATGTAATTTTTTTAATACAACAAAACTTCAAAAACCTGTGAGGGGGTAGTCACTTCCATCACCTTCACCTCTCCTGTTCACTATGCGCCCTCGCACTTGCGTACTGATGGGGGGGGGGGGGGGGGGGGGCTCTGTAAGCTCTGGGATTTTAGGCATTCAATTACGGTCAGATGAGCATATTTTGATACCTCATTTGTGACATTGGCAGGTCACGTATTTTTTCTCTCTCTCTTTCTTTCTTTTTCTCTGTAACATACTTTTTTTCAAAAAATGACAGGGCTCGAGCCCCCGAGCCCAGCCGTTTTGCAGACCAGGGGCTCATGTCTTCTCACCCCTTTTAACGTTTGCGTTTTGCCCCCCCCCCCACACTTTTTTGGCTGGGGGTTGACTGCCCCCCCCCCCCCCCCCACACTTCCGGCGCCTATGGTACATCTTGAGATTGAACGTAGTGTAAAGGGTAGGGGATGATATCCAGTTTACGATTAAGATTCATGAGAAAATTCAAAGACGGGAGAAAAGGATTAACATTTTCAAGACAAGTATGGCATTTCAAACATATTTCTCAATTCACAACATTTGTATATGTACCGTTACTGCGTGCGGAAACTACAAACTTAAAGTAACTCGGCGAGAGATACTAATGTTGTTAATGTAATATAATGAGAGGGAATTTAAGGAGTTTTGTATCAACCAAGTAACGAGTCAATATGTTGTGAATGCTGAAAACAAATTATGGAAATAGAGATAGCTGTGTGTAAATGTTTTACCCTATTTCATCGCTGCTATGCGGGCCGCATTTCATTTATGAGAGAATTAAACAACGATAAAAGAGAGGTGCGAGAGCTGAGGAATTGCATTTCTTTTAAAAGAATAATGGGATAACAACACAGTTTATACACTCGAGATAATTTTTGCAAGTACTACTGGTGAAGTACTAGACCACCGTCTTTATGCATTGTGCAGCAACGAAGCATAATCACGTTTCGCGACGTGACAGATAACTTTTCTTTAGCTTCTAACCAATCAGAAGGCCTCGTTTTTTTCTCTCCAGGAAGTGCCGGTGGCCATTAATGCGCCAAAATAATGTGGTTCTCGAATTGTAAAAGATCACTACTCTTGGAGGGGATAGGAGAAGGGTTCCATGACACATGCTCCGCCGACGATTGATCCGCCACTTTGATCCGACGACAATAATTCTTTCATGGGTTATTTTTGTTTTTATTTTGTTGTTGTTATTCAGGGCCGTAGCCAACATTTTTAGAAGGGGGGGGGGGTGCATTTTAATTCCGCCGACAATAATTGCTCCGCCGACATTTGCTCCGCCGACAATTGCTCATCCTACAGCTCCGCCCAAAAAGTGCCCTGAAAAATTAAAATGCTCCAACATCGCTCTTTCCCCAAAGTACCCCGTTGAAGACAAAATGCTCCGCCTACATAGCAGGAATGCCCCGTAAAAGAAATGCTCCCTTTGCAGCGCGAAAAAAACATAGAAAGAAAGAAAAAGAAAAAAAAAGGACAAGAAAACATGGAAAAGAAAAGGCTAAAGACAAGGAAAAGGGGACACAAAATAGAATATAGGAAGATTTAATTTCCATATTTTTTGCATTGGCCTATAACTTTGTGTCGGAACGGTGTCGGCATATAAATTAATAACGGTAAATCCCAGTGACGGATCCAGCCGGCGGGAAGAGGGGGGGGGGGGGGGGGGGCCAATCCGTGAGAAAATATTAGTTGCGATTCAGCCAGCCAGCGAATAAGCGGGGGAAGGGGGAGAAGAGCACTTTTTTTTTTTTGGTTGATCGAGTTATGAACGAAAAATTTAGCGCCGACTCAGCCGGTCGTTGAATATTTTTTTTTTTTTTTTTTTTTTTTTTTTTTGGGGGGGGGGGGGTGCTTTTGTTTTTTGTTTAAAAAAAAAGGTTAATTTTACGTTACTATCCTATTTTTTTTTATCGTTTTGGGGGCTAGGGGGGGGGGGCGGGCCGGAAAAATCGCTATGTGGATCCGCCCCTGGTAAATCCTGCGCGGCGCGACGTCGCGACACGTCGGGGAAAATGAGAAATAAAATGGAGTATGAAATATAGGCCTACATGCTCGTGAAATAATCATTGATTAAGAAAGGGGTGGTAGGCAGGCAGATGGTTTTAAGCTATTTTATGAAAAGGATGAAAATTCGCTTGCTCGCTACGCTAGCTTATGTTCGTAATACATTTTGTACATCAGTGATTAAAAAGCGATGCTATAGGCACGCAGATACTTTTCAATATAAAATGGCAAGCCAAAGAATTTCGACAATTCGCTAAGCTCGCTCGCCAACAAGGAATAATTATCCTGAAATAATACTTGCCAATTTGATTCAAAAGGGGCGTAATGTAGGTTCTATTCAAGATTATAACCTATGATTTTTACCTTCCTTGTTCGCCAAATAAAAAATAAATAAAAAAAAAAAAAAAACGTCCCCTTAAATGTGTTTGTGCCCTCCCTTTCACGGGGCAAGAAGACACAGTTAATATGGAAAAAAAATATGCCTATAATTATTATCAAAAGAGAAGTGTTTAAAAAAAATCGCTCACTTGCTACGCTAACTCGCGATTATAATTTTAAACATATTCATTTGACGAAGAAGGGCGGAAGGCAAGTAGATGCTATTCAATATAAAATAAGCTTAAAACCACCCGCTCGCTAAAAAGGAATTTTACATTGCCTTAATATGAATGTGCCCGACCCGTCCCGCAGCAAGAAAGCTTTGTTTGATACTCATTATTGTTGAAAATAATTCTTTGGTTTAAAATGCTTGCTCGCCAGTTTATGGTATAAACATGCTCATTTAATTAAGGAGGGAAATTAAGCTGGAAGATGCTATTCAATATTAATGATAAGTCTACATTTTGCTCTCTCTCTCTCTCTCTCTCCTCTCTCTCTCGCTACCATCTGTGGCTGCCTCCGTTTACAACTAGCAAACCGAGGAGTTTCGACAATTACACAAACACCCTAAAGTTGTTATTCACAAGATTGAAATGACGAGGTACGAAGATTCAGTTAAAGTTCACGAACTGTCGTTTATTCACTGGTCGTATGGTCACCAAATCTTCAGATAACAATCTGTAACACAACAGAAAGAGAAAAAAAACTACATAATGTTCATACTTACGAGACACTACAACAATACATGTGCATCAAAATAGCTTAACAAAGTGATTGAACCTACATATAACTTAAACTGACTACATGTACTCCAAAACTGTCTTTTTGTTTTATAAGCAACAAGTACATTATAAACCTTTGCTAGACAATGAAAATATATTAGTCAACTTGCATGTATGTAATTAACTAATTACGCAGTCTATTTACATATATATGCTGCAACAAAACAACTACAAGTATAAAGAATAATATCCTACTAGACAAGAAAGTAAGTACCCGTCTTAAAATACATTATAATGCAGTCATCACCATCACAGTGACACTGTAACAAACATGCATGGAGAGTTGAAGAAAAGAGAGAGAGAGAGAGAAAGGGTGAGAGCAGAGAGGGGTGGATAGCGATACAGAGAAGGGAGAGAGAGAGAGAGAGAGAATAATCTAGTACAATGCACGCATCTCCTAAGTACACTGGATGAGCACACACATAACTTTCCTTGCCTTTCAAGTTCCAAACTATATAAATTATAACAAACACGAAAGATAAACTAAGGGGGCGGTAGTGAGCACGCGAAGCGTGCGAATCACTTTAAGGGCGCGCGAAGCGCGCTCACTAGGGGGGTGGGTGCAGGGAGGGGGGAGTTTCCCCAAAGACGTTTAAATATAATTACTAGACGGAAAGCAGCACGCGCGGAAACCATGCAGACGAATGGGATTAGGCTCCGCCTCTTTTGGATCATTTGAAGACAAAATAAGCACCCGAGGCGGCTTTTTGATTGGATATGAGCCTCATGAATATGTATTTTATCGATAGTATCGTTTAAGAAACCGGATGATATATTTGACCTCATGCGCGTCACTTTAATTATGCAGATTTATGCACGACGCAGGCTACTCGCACAAACTGAGAAGATTTTAGTTCATTGAGAATGGGTGAGTAATTGATTGAAATATGAGTAGATTAAGTGAATTTAGTCATCAATTTTGAAAAAGCTGCAATAGTCTTCGTGATGTACGGTAATTTCGTTACATTGTGAGACCGTTCTCAACAGATTTTTTGGGAAAAGACTAGGAAATTATTGCTCTTGAAATTGAACTTTGATTTTCATCGTCATGAAGTAGTTTGACTGCGGTTTGCCATCATTTCACCCTAGTACTCCAGTTAGGGGCCCGGCCGTTCCGGCAGGCCCACCCCGGGGAATTTCGGTGCTCATCTGCATCAAGATCAAACTTTCTAATCAAGTTTTATTTCAGATTTGATCGTCATCATGAATCTAATTCACCAATCATCGATTTAATTTAAATCTAGATTTAACGTTACACCTTACAATAATCTCTGAAGCATGATTTTTTTGATAATCCAAGTGGATTAATTCTTGTTAAAATCTTAAGTAGACCTAACGTTAGATCATAGATGTTGACTCTGATGGCTTTACTTATCAGTGTCATCCGTTCGCTCAGTTGCATCCGTGTCAACTTTATTTAGACCAAAATTATCTGTGACCATTGATAATCAAACAACTCCAAATCCTATTTCATTTAGATGTAAACCTGGAACTTATTAATAAAAAGTATTCAAAAAACATCAACACTAGGATCTGTTTATTAGATTTTGTGTGGGTCCAGCATGCTTGTCAAGTTATCATTATGGGTGGTATTCTCGAAAGCGGCCTAAGTTAAACCTGGCCTAAGTTAAACCGTGGTTTAGTTAGGCCAGGCTTAACTTAGGCCGCTGACCTAAGTCATTTTCGTTTCTCGAAAGGTGGCCTAACTGATCCATGGTTTAAACCTGGCCTAACTTAGTCCATGGATTATTCACCATGGTTACAGTTTCTGCACATGCTCAGTATAAGCTGCGACGTCACAATGCACTAAGACAATGGGCTAAGACAATGGATGCGCGCAGTGTGGAGAGGATGCATCACCTCGACAACTTGAGCAATATGACGTCCAGGGGCGGCGGAGCGACTTCAAAAGCAGGGGGCAGCATCAACAAAAAGGGCACTTGCTGGAATTGTATCATTGTTAAAAGGGAAATTATCAGAGGTTAAAAGGGTCACATATCGCACCTGAAAGGGGCATTGAACATATTTTAAAAGGGGCACTTATGAGAATGAAAAAGAGGCACTTAAAAAAAGGAAATGTGCATTTGTTGAAAGAAAAGGGGCACCGATAATTTTGTTAATAGGGGCACCTCTCAAATTTAAATAGGGCAATTATCAGAGGTGAAGGGGCACTTCTCGTACCTGAAAAGGAGCACTTACTAGAGATTTAAAAGGGCACTGAAAACAATGGAAAATTGACACTTATTGCCAAGGAAAATGGAAACTTGTCAAAGGAAAAGGGGCGCATTTCAAAATTAAAGGGGCACTTATCAGAGGTGAAAAGGGGGAGGGGCACTTCTTACAAAGTTAAAAGGGCACTTACCTATATAAAAAGGGGCATTTGAAAAAGGGGGCACTGTACCCCCCCCCCAACTCTCTTTCTCCCTATCTCCATCTCTCTCTCTCTCTCTCTCTCTCACACACACACTATCAGAGGTTAAAAGGGTCACATATCGCACCTGAAAAGGGGCATTGAACATATTTTAAAGGGGCACTTATGAGAATGAAAAAGAGGCACTTAAAAAAAAGGAAATGTGCATTTGTTGAAAGAAAAGGGGCACCGATAATTTTGTTAATAGGGGCACCTCTCAAATTTAAATAGGGCAATTATCAGAGGTGAAGGGGCACTTCTCGTACCTGAAAAGGAGCACTTACTAGAGATTTAAAAGGGCACTGAAAACAATGGAAAATTGACACTTATTGCCAAGGAAAATGGAAACTTGTCAAAGGAAAAGGGGCGCATTTCAAAATTAAAGGGGCACTTATCAGAGGTGAAAAGGGGGAGGGGCACTTCTTACAAAGTTAAAAGGGCACTTACCTATATATAAATAAATTTATGCTGGAATATTAATAAGTAGAGGTGTAATGATGTTTTCAAAGGCTACTTAGTTGGCGTAAATATTCATAAATGAATGATACATGCCATGAAAACTCAAACAACACAACAATGAGTGGAACTTTAGGGTCCACTTCCCGATGCATCCTGGGTACACCAGCTGTTTTACTGGTGATCGATAATACAAGTTCGAGCGCGTATTTCACCTAACGGTGATCGCATCAGAATAATCCACGCTGATTCGCTGAATCACTTGCGTTGCTAGCGCGCAGCGTGATGAATAAATTACCCATAATTCCGTATAGTAGATTATTTGACCTCTCTGATTATGCTGATATGCGTATTGTCTTTTACCATGTAGTGAACATCATTACAGTACACTTTTCGCGGGGAGCATCCTACAGAATGCATAATTCATAAGGCTCATGAATTATGCAAGGGGGCTTATTTTGGCTTCTAATGGATCCGGACAAAATGGCGGAGCTTGGGGGGCCTGGTTTCCCCCCTCCCGCGCGAAGCGCGGAAGCTTTGAAAGAAGACGATTCGTTGTACCTTTTTCAACTCGTAATCCTTGTCTGAATTCAGTCCCTCCCCCCTCTTGCGCGAAGCTTTGACGTTTCATTATATTACTAGAGAAAGGAGACGATTCGTTGTAACTTTCCCGACTCTTAATCCTTATTTTTATCTGTATTCAGTCTCCCTCCCGCGCGAAGCGCGGAAGCTTTGAAAGAAGACGATTCGTTTCTACCTTTTCTCGACTCATAATCCTCGTCTGAATTCAGTCCCTCCCCCCTCTCACGCGAAGCTTTGACGTTTCATTAAATAATTAGAGAAAGAAGACGATTCGTTGTACCTTACCCGACTCTTAATCCCTATCCTATCTGGATTCTACCCCCCCCCCCTCTCGCGCGAAGCTTTGACGTTTCATTAAATTATTAGAGAAAGAAAGCGATTCGTTGTACCTTTCCGACACTTAATCCTTAATTTGATCTCAGTCTCCCGCTTCCGCGCGAAGCGCGGAAGCTTTGACGATTCGTTGTACCGTTCTCGACTCTTTTTCCCTCTTTCTTCTTCTACGTCCTCTCCTCTTTTTTTTTTTTTCTTCTCTTTCTCTCTCTTTTTTTTTTGGGGGGGGGGGGGGGCGACCGTCCCCACCGCCCCCCCCCCCTGGCTACGCGCCTGAACTAATATTCTCTCCTAAGCTTACATTACTTCATAAAACAATTCAACATTAACTACCACTATCATATTAAGTGAGTTCTTACCAATTCGGGTCTGTAAAATGCTCCACAATCACTGGAAATCAAACTTTTGAAGACGGTTGCAACTTGCAACTTCACTGTTGAAACATTCACTTGAACAATGATGATATACTGCCTCTACACATAATATGCGATACATCTATAACACAAGTGCCTACACACAGAATGCATACCCATACATTGTATGCAAAGTACTTTCATTTAGCACTGTAAAACAAGGGGGCTTAGTGGGGGGGGGGGGGGGGGGGGGGGGGTGTAGAGGCCAACGATTACCGACAAAACTAGCCACCAATTACCGACAAAATTAAATGTCCAATATCTACAAATTCAACCCTACGAACCTGGCGCCGAAGGCTAAATTGTTTTTCCTATGGACTATCTATAGTACTCGCATATGCGCAAAATGGTCATTTTCCTCGACGACATGAATATACGAATTATTTCTTCAATTTAGTCAGCACCATAGCTATCAATCTTAATGCAGGCGCGGAGCTAGGATCTTATTTTAGGGTGGGGCGGTAGTGAGCAAGAGAATCACTTAAAAGCGCGCTCCTTAATTAGGGGGGTGTGGGTGATAGGTCTCCCGCGCAAAGCGCGGAAGCTTAGACGTTTCCTTAAATTATTAGGAAAGAAGACGATTAACTGTACCGTTTTCGACTGTTAATCCTTGGCTGAATAAATTTCCCCCCCCCCTCCCGCGCGAAGCGCGAAAGCTTTGACCTTTCATTAATTATTATAAAAAAGAAGACGATTTGCTCTAACGTTCTCGACTGTTTATCCTTGTCTGAATTGAGTTCCCCCCCCCTCTCCCGCGCAAAGCGCGGAAGTTTTGACGTTTCATTAAATTATGAGAAAAAGCACACGATTCGGTGTACTGTTCTCGACTCTTAATCCTTGTCTGAATTAAGTTCCCCCCCCCCACCCCTCCCGCGCAAAGCGCGGAAGCTTTGGCGTTTTGTAAAATTATGAGAAAAAACGGACGATTCGGTATACTGTTCTCGACTCTTAATCCTTGTCTGAATTCAGTTTCTCCCCCTCCCGCGCGAAGCGCGGAAGCTTTGACGTTTCACTCAATTAAGAGAAAAAGCAGACGATTCGAGCTGTTCTCGACTCTTAATACTTATCTGAATGAAGCTTCCCCCTCCCGCGCGAAGCGCAGAAGTTTTGACGTTTCATTAAATTATTAGAGAAAGAAGACGATTCGTCGTACCGTTTTCGACTCTTAATAAGCCCTATTCATCTGAATTCAGTTTCTCCCTCTCGCTCAAAGCGCGAAAGCTTTGACGTTTCCTCATATTATTAGAGAAAGATCACGATTCGTCGTACCGTTTTCGACTCTTAATAAGCCCTATTTATCTGAATTCAGTTTCCCCCTCTCGCGCAAAGCACGAAAGCTTTGACGTTTCCTCATATTATTAGAGAAAATCACGATTCGTTGTACCGTTTTCGACTCTAAATAAGCCCAATCATCTGAATTCAGTTTCCCCCTCTCGCGCGAAGCGCGAAAGCTTTGACGTTTCCTCATATTATTAGAGAAAGATCACGATTCGTCGTACCGTTTTCGATTCTTAATAAGCCCTATTCATCTGAATTCAGTTTCCCCCTCTCGCGCAAAGCGCGAAAGCTTTGACGTTTCCTCATATTATTAGAGAAAGATCACGATTCGTTGTACCGTTTTCGACTCTTATAAGCCCTATTCATCAGTCTGAATTGAGTTTCCCCCTCTCGCGCAAAGCGCGAAAGCTTTGACGTTTCCTCATATTATTAGAGAAAGATCACGATTCGTCGTACCGTTTTCGACTCTTAATAAGCCCTATTCATCTGAATTCAGTTTCCCCCTCTCGCGCGAAGCGCGAAAGCTTTGACGTTTCCTCATATTATTAGAGAAAGATCACGATTCGTTGTACCGTTTTCGACTCTAAATAAGCCCTATTAATTTTGTCTGAATTCAGTTTTCCCCCTCTCGCGCGAAGCGCGGAAGCTTTGACGTTTCCTTAAATTATTAGAGAAAGAAGACGATTCGTTGTACCGTTTTCGAATCTTATTAAGCCCTATTCATCTGCATTCAGTTTTCCTCTCTCGCGCGAAGCGCGAAAGCTTTGACGTTTCCTCAAATTATTAGAGAAAGAACACGATTCGTTGTACCGTTTTCGACTTTTAATAAGCCCTATTTGTCTGAATTCAGTTTCCCATTCTCGCGCGAAACGCGGAAGCTTTGACGTTTCATTAAATTATGAGAAAAAACAGACGTTTAGGTGTACTGTTCTCGACTCTTAATCCTTATCTGAATGAAGCTTCCCCCTCCCGCGCAAAGCGAGGAAGTTTTGACGTGTCATTCCATTATTAGAGAAAGAAGACGATTCGTTGTACCGTTTTCGACTCTTAATAAGCCCTATTCATCTGAATTCAGTTCCCCCCCCCCCCTCTCGCGCGAAGCGCGAAAGCTTTGACGTTTCCTCATATTTTTAGAGATAGAACACGATTCGTTGTACCGTTTTCGACTCTAAATATGCCCTATTTTGTTGTTGTCTGAATTCAGTTTATCCCTCTCGCGCGAAGCGCGGAAGCTCTGACGTTCCTTAAATTATTAGAGAAAGAAGACGATTCGTTGTACCGTTTTCGACTCGTCTAAATGAAGTTTTTGGTGTTTCATCACAATATAGAGAAAGGAAGACGATTCCTCGTACCGTTTTCGAATCTTATTAAGCCCTATTCATCTGAATTCAGTTTCCCCCTCTCGCGCGAAGCGCCAAAGCTTTGACGTTTCCTCAAATTATTAGAGAAAGAACACGATTCGTTGTACCGTTTTCAACTTTTAATAAGCCCTATTTGTCTGAATTCAGTTTCCCATTCTCGCGCGAAACGCGGAAGCTTTGACGTTTCATTAAATTATGAGAAAAAGCAGACGTTAAGGTGTACTGTTTTCGACTCTTAATCCTTATCTGAATGAAGCTTCCCCCTCCCGCGCGAAACGCGGAAGCTTTGACGTTTCCTTTAATTTTAAGAGAAAGAAGACGATTCGTTGTACCTTTCTCGACTCGTCTAAATGAAGTTTTTGGCGTTTCATCACAATATAGAGAAAGAACACAATTCGTTGTACCTTTTTCGACTTTTAATAAGCCCTATATGTCTGAATTCAGATTCCCATTCTCGCGCGAAGCGTGGAAGCTTTGACGTTTCCTTAAATTATTAGAGAAGGAAGACGATTCGTTGTACCGTTCTCGACTCGTCTTAATGAAGTTTTCCCCTTTCGCGCGAAGCGCTGAATTTTTGGCGTTTCATCACAATATAAAGAAAGGATGACGATTCGTCGTACCGTTGTTGACTCTTAAACCTTGTTTGAATTTAGTTTCCCCCAAAATTTTAAACCTCTGATTTCTTTAGCTGATGTTATAGGAAAGTGAAACTTCGAGAAAATACAAGTATTGTAGTTGTAGTCACTCTCGAAGTCGTCACAGCGGATAAGAAGTCAGAGTTCGTAGGGAAAAAAACTTGTCGGCCGACCGACAATATACATCTCACCGACTTCAAACTTCTGCATTGATATAGTACACGAGGATCGAGCAAGAATACCGACACAGCTGACCCGACACAGCAACATATTTACCCGTGTCTTTCTTGCTCCCTCGAAGAGACGACTCCACCCAACAACCCCCTTCTCTCTTTTACTCCCACTCCTCCTCTCTCAGACTTTTACCTCCCCTCTCTCTCCTCTCTTTCATCCCCCGTTTCTTTTGTTTCCCTTTCACTCTTTTTTATTCTTTTTTTTTCTTTTCTTTCTTTTCTTTCTTTTCCTTTCTTTCCTCTCGTCCCTCTTTTTCTTTTTTTCTCTTTCTTCTCTTCTTCTTTTCTTTCCTTTCTTTCCTTTCTTTCCTTTCTTTTCCTTTCTTTCTTTTCTTTTCCTTTTTTTCTTTTCTTTCCCTTTCCCTTTCTTTTTTCCCTCTCTTTTTTTCCCTCTCTTTTTTCCCCTCTTTTTTCCCCTCTCTTTTTTCCCCTCCCCCTTTTCTCTTTTTCCCGACGGCAGCGCAAGTTTACCGACAATATCCTGACAGGTGGTAGTGGTGGTAGTGAGCACTATTTTTTTTTTTGGTCCTCTTTTTTTTTCTTTTCATTTGCACCCCCCCCCCCCTTGAGCGCCAGGGGGGGGGGGGGTCCAAGCCCCCCAAAAGGGAAAAATCACGTGATTTTACATGATTTTTTTTTCTCAAGGGGGGGTGGGGGGCCGGGCCCCCCGGCCTCCCGCCCCCCGCCCCCCCCCTGGATCCGCCACTGGGGTTCGATCTGCATGACCCTCTAGCTATACCCGGAAGCTTTGGCGTTACATTAAATTATTAGTGAATGAAGACGATTCGTTGTACCGTTCCCGACTCCTAATCCTTATCTGAATTCAGTTCCCCCTCCTGCGCGAAGCGCGGAAGCTTTGACGTTTCATGAATTATGAAAGAATACGATTCGTTGTACCGTTCTCGACTCTTATATCCTTATCTGCATGAATTCAGTTCCCCTCCCCCTCCCTTCCTACGTCCTCTTACTTTTTTCTCTTCTCTCTCTCTCTCTCTTTTTTTCTTTCTTAATTTGGCCGGCGGTCGCGGGCGTACGTCGACCGCCCCCAGCACCGCCACCCCTTGCTACGCGCATGAGGCCCATCCCCCGCTCCCTTGCCGCTGACGCCTCGCTCCATCGTTTTTCATATATTTCACCCCATGCGTTTTTTGTGCCCCCCCCCCCCCCCTCCCGGTAAGAAATTCCTGGATCCGCCACTGCGTGCCACAGGCTATATCCACCTTGGTCCATCCAACCATGGACTTATTAGTAAGTCCATGATCCAACCATAGACCTACCACCAGACTGGTAGGTAGGTCTATGATCCAACAGAGCAAAAATACGAAGAGAGGACTGAGGAGCAGGAAGCAAGGGGTGCAGGTGAAAGCTCAAGCATCTGAGATCGAGCAGCTTAAGAAGGCTAAGGAAAGCACCAATGATGCTGCTGGAATACTCGATTCCAGCTTGACGCTTTGGATCAGTACTCGCGGCGAAATAATGTAAGGATCCACGGCATGGAGGAGACGTTTGGGGAGTCGACGGAGGAGGTGGTCTGCAAGGTCGCTCAACGAATGGGTCTTAAACTGACCCAATCCGACATCGACCTCACTCATCGCCTAGGACCGGGTACCAAGCCAGCTGGTGGTGACAAGCCAGATCGATCTATCATTGTAAAGT